GAAAGATCTTTCTCCGGCGAGGATCGGAAAATGGATGCCAGTGCCAATGGCTGTGGCACTGCCCTTCTTAGTTGGGGCATACGTCGCAATTGACATGTGCATTGGAAGTTTGGTTGTGTTCGTGTGGCACAAGCTTAACTCCAAGAAAGCAGAGCTGATGGTTCCAGCAGTTGCTTCTGGACTGATATGTGGTGAAGGCCTTTGGGTACTGCCGGCATCAATTCTTGCTTTGGCCAAAGTCAAACCACCAATTTGCATGAAATTCTTGGCTTCTTAGAATTAGAGGAAAATAATTTGCATTGTTGTTTATACGTCCAACAGAAAAAGGATGGCCCCAATCCAAATCCTGGACACAACACCATGGTAACTTACTTGTAGCTTAACCATAAGATACAAGGCATCAATATAAAATATAACCATATATTCCTTCCCATAATTTTAATTTTTCTAAATATAAAAGTCACAATTCACGTCGACCATAACACGGCTACAACAAAAGAAGCTTTCACTCCTATTCTATTAGTAGCCCCCAAACTCGATCATTATCATCCTCATGAGTAGTAAATTAATACCATAATTATGTTTATTTCAAAATCCCAAAAAAATAAAAAAAAAAAGAGATTCGGATATTATGTTCTCGATCTCCACTAATAAAAAGTTTCAATCTCAAAACTTGGGGTACTTTGGAATCCAAATAACTGCAGATGCTGATTTCACATCTCTTCTTCAATCTTTGAAGTCCTTGTTACTTTAAGGCCATAGTCTTTTCACGTAGCTTGGTTTCTCACTTCCCTTGGATAACAAACACCACAATTTGTGGCATAACTAACAAACACTACAGGCTACGTTGTAGGTTGCGTTTAGCAAATATTGAGGATTGAGTTCCAAAGCATTGACAAGCTTAAGCCATGACAATACAAAGCCAATATAATACTCTATCTATCTGTCCCATTTTGATAGTTCTAGTTTTTTTTTCCTCACACAGTTTAAGAAAAAGTAGTTAACTTTGTTGAAATAATAAATTTAAGTTGCTATTTTCTTAAAATACCTTTACATTAAATAGAGTACAACTTTATATTAATTATTTATGGAAACTTGAATTGATGGTTTATGGGAACTTGAATTGATGATCAAGAAAAAATCAATCCTCATTTCACATAGTTTCACATTTTGGCTTGAAAGAATAACAAAGTTGGCTTTTCATATATCAATATGTTTTGGAAAATCTAAATGTATTAAATGAGGTAGGTTAACAATCTATATTAAATAGGGTAGTTTATAACTTCATACTAATAACACCCTACATTGAATAAGGGTATTTTAGATAAATTAAAAGATAACTATATTTTTCAATTGAAAAGTGAACTACAATTTCGGACAGAAAAAAAAAGAAAATAGAGCTATCAAAATGGGACGGAGGGAGTATTAGTTTCTCTCTTCCTCATCCCAGGCTCCTAACTAATCTTCAAATCCCTCTGTTGAAGCCTCAAAGGAGGGGTATGGACAATTACGACTCCAAACAAGTGTTCGATTAGATGGCTCAGAAGAGATTTAGTTGTACATTTATAATCTGCATCTGCATGCTTTTTTCCACAATCTTGTTAGCTTAATCCCACATAATTGCCCCTTGTCGGTCGTCTCCATTTTTGCCAGATTGACATCTCATTTTACCACTGTTTATTTTGATTCACCTGCAATTTTGCATATAAATCAGTTCAAGTATGCAATGTCTTCTCTGTTGTCTGCAGTTTCTTTTACAAGTTGCTTTTGCCCTCAAAATTTCTAGTTTCCAAAAATCTCCACGCATATAATCTACTGAAGTTCGTCTCAATGATCGCGTAACCAATCAAATCAAGTTTCAACAAGTTCTAGTGTTCGTTTGTGAAGCTCAACTCATGAAGGCAAAGGAAAAATAGTAGTAATTCAGTACAAAAGAACCAAGCTACTCGAACTGAACTTGAGCAATACCGAAATTTCAACTTAATTTAGTGTTATTAAGAAGTCAAATGCATGTTTAAAAACCCAACTGGAAGATCATCTTTTCATGATGATCAAGAATGCAAGTCAACATTGATCCTGGGTGATTCCTAAGCAATACTATGAGCTTGGTACGGGCAAGTCTTTCATAAGCATTCGGCACTAAGTCAAAAACATATTGTACAGTTTAAAAGGACAAACTAGAATCATAAAGTGACTTGGGGTTGGATTTTAGGCTGTGCAAACAAATTCTGCATCTATTTCTGCCAATGTTTTGAAACTCGGACTATTAATTGAATTGGCAAGCTGTTTGGGTCAAGACTCAACTGGTTGGACCGATTCAACCCTGGTTCGATGAATTTTTTTAAAAAAATATATGAATGTATATGTATAAAATAAGACCTGCAATGGACTAATTTAAGATTTTATATGATGAAAAGTTTAATATTTTCAAAGATCTTGGATTTTCACAAATAAAAATTTTAAATTATAAATTGTAACAAATAAATTTCATCTCAGTCTCAATTATATTTACCAAAAAAAAAAAAATCTTAAATCCAACCCAAAAATACCACAATATTCTAAAATTATACAAAATTCACGTCCATGGAAATTAGACATTGTGAATTTAAATTTTTAATTTACATTTTTGGGATTTAGAGATTGCAACTTAAAAAAAAAAAGAAGTTTGGAGTTTAGAAGAAATCAGGAAAATAGAAAATAAAGATGCAATCTTGATAAGAGGCAAAAAATGAAAAGAAAGTAAGTGGATGTGACATTTTATAATTAGTCTTTAGGGTTAACGAAAACTTATTCTTTTTATATATTTTTCTATTTAATAGACAAAAACAAAAAATCGCTGATTCAACAGTTCAATCCGGTTTGCACGGTTCAAATGGTTTTTATTGGTTTTTGAATCTAGTTGACCCGAGGTATGAACTGGACTGGAGTTATGACCCGTTCACGGTCCAACCGGCCGGTCCGGTCTTCAAAACAATGATTTCCGCCTGTACAAGTCATTGCAGCTTGCAAGTAAGAGAAACAACCAAGGGGAGTCTCCCCAAAGGGGACCAAGTTCCTTACTGAGCTCACCCTATTATATTGGGCAACATTGCACATAGAAGAAGAGAATCATCTGCATCACAATTTGCTTGTATCTAATAAGGAGAAAATGGTTTTCTTATCTGAATTGATCTTGAGTCCTAAAATCAAGATTGCCTCAACTTAGCACTTCAAATTAACATATTTCAAGTTCAATGCGATATGTAAAGTATAAACCGCGTGCCGTGATTTAAACTTTCTTCTTGTTTTACTGGACGTGGAAGTAACCACCACATATTTTTATTGAAGCAACCATTACATACTCGTAAAAAGAATCAACCTACGGAGAATAAGTATCTTTAATATGCCAAGGCATATGCTGTTCTGCTCCTAGACACTGACGAGACCAAGAATCAATTCTCATCATTGTTAATGTAGCACCCCTGTTTCTAAGTTCCTTCGAATTAATGGAATGATGTACCAAGAAAAAAAAAAATGAAGGAATGCCAGTATTTATCCAACATATCAGACGACCTTTGATTTACCTTAGCAAATTTTGCAACCATTTTGAGAGGCCATTTTAGAGAAATAACTGTTAACACTAATCGCGGATAATTGTAGCCAGTAAACAGAAAACAAAGGAGTCTCTTTTCATCCTTTTTCCCCTTTTTTCCCCATTCTGAATTCAAAGATATGCTATTGCTGGCTGTTGTTTTTCCTTGGAATATATCGAACCTAGCCAAGTCTGCTCTGTATTTTTGAAGCTTCAGCAACAATTTTGCTTCTAGGAAGAACCCAAGACCAACTGGAGTTTCAATCAAATGACAAAATTCTATCATGGATTGCACTAAAATTTCACTGCACTTCATAGCCATAGCTATGCATAAAAGTACAATCATCCATTTGGACTCATAAACAGTAAATGAATCAATTCATCTCAACATGGTAACAATGAACTTTACATTCCTGTCTCAGCATCTATGATCTATTGTTCAACCATTTTAAGATATCTCCTCTTACAATTTCAATATTCTCATCAGGTTCCCCATACAACAAGGAATGCAGCATCCCGTCATAGATCTTGATAGTCTTGTCCTTGCTGTTAGCCAATTCATACAATTCCATACTCACTTGTGGATCAGTAACAACATCAGCACTGCCATGCAACACAAGAAATGGAAGATTAACATCAGATAATCTACCATTAATGTAAGCTGTAACCCTCAAAAGCTCAAGAACAGTCCCTAATCTTGGTTTCCCATTGTATCTTGATGGATTTGATACTGCAGTAATTTTCTTTTCTGGGACTTTGACAGACTTCTCTATTAAATCAGCTGTCGGTACAATAGGTAAAGTTGGTGCAAATCTTGCCACAATTGTCAAGATTTCAGGAATAGGCCATCTAGGCCTAACTTTTTCAGAAATCTTGCACATGGGTGCAATCAAGATTGAACCGTTGAACAAAGTTGGGATCTTGAAATGAATCAACAAACAAATTGCTCCGCCCATTGACTCACCATACAAGAATTTGGGGAGGTTTTGAAAGGTGGGATTTTGGGACAATATGAAGTTGAAGAGTGAGAGGCAATCATCGACAACAAGGTCAACATTTGGGACATAGGCCTTGAGGCCCTGAGATTTGCCATGGCCTTCAAGGTCTACGGCGAAACAGGCATAACCATTTTGGGCAAGGAAGATTGTGGTTGCCTGAAAAGTCCAGCTGATATCATTACCATAGCCATGGACCATAAAGATGACGCCACGTGGATGGTTGTTAGGAGGTAGCCATGATTTGGTGAAGAGGGTGACGCCTCTGGGCGAAGTGTAAAAAGATTTGGTTGATTTGATGCCATGGAGGTCGAAGTACTCGTCCTCCGGAGTGGTTCCCCAGTAATAGGGTTCTGTTTTGAGGGCTTCGTGGTGATCTTCTCCCATTACTGGAGTCCGGAGAATGGGGTTTTGTGGCCTTTTTCCTTTCTTTAATGGGGTTTCTTCTGGGATTAGAGATTTATTTAGAGGTGAGTTGCGGCGGAAATTTCTTACTTTTGCCGAGCAGGGCTGGGGATTTTTCCGCCTTTGTCGGTTGTGGGGCTGGGGGCCTTCTCAGCACTTACAATTTTGTATTGGACTATGGCTTTGGAGTTTGGACCATGAGGTGTAGGATGGTAGTTGGTAGATATCTTATGCCAAAGCTGTGGGTTGGTCTTATTGGCCCTCTGAATTTCCCAGTTACATTCGTCTCTCCAGTCTCCACAAAGGAAAATCCAGAACTTGAAAAAGAACAAACAAAGGTTTGGAGTCCTGGATGCAAGACAAAATGCATTGTTAAAATTCACTTTATGATCTTTATCGCAAGGTACTGTTCCCGTCAATTTATTTGACAGGTCGTTGATCACCACATCTACTATATTTTAATCTGCTGAGCTTTTGCGCTTTAATGACTGCTGACACGTTATCTTACTTTTCAATGGATGGCTACGTTTGAGCAATATTAAACTGCAATTGGTTGTTATGTTTGGTTGTGGGCTGTTTGTCACTGCGAAGGAAATATTCTGCTTAGAATTTTGGGATTAATCTAGGGTCCAATGACTTTTGGAAAAATCCAATACTAAAACAAATAGGGCTTGGAGTACAAAAGCTCTCATACTGTCAATTTTCCTGCTTCCGGGAGGATCATTGATGATTGTTTGTGCTAACACCAGAAAAAACTCAAGCGCCAGAGGGTCTTTTAGCTTTGTAACTAGTCTAATCTCACTCTCAGAGGTAAAGGATTATCTGCTGATGAATATCCTGTCTCTGTTTATTCCTGTTTCATTGAAAAATGTTTGCTTGGTCTTCTAGATATACTTTTATATTGATTCTTCTTCATGCTTTAATTTTTTTTTAATGAATTTTACTGTGTTAAGGTGTAATCACTAGCGGTGTTACGTTCGTTCCAAATTGATGTTCTTATGGATATCAACTTAATCAAGAAAACTGTTAAGATGCAATGCATCACAATGATTAGAGATAGAGACGAACGGCAAGTCAACAACAACCGTGCATTGTCTCTTTCACTCAAGCTTCTAGGGGGAAATTTCTAATTACAAAAAGAAAGAAAAGTTGAATAAAGTAAAAGTGACACTTCCGCAAGAACACAAAAAGCAAACTGTTAATTGGCATTTAGGTGGGGTCAAATTTCCATCACGGAAGGTGGAGACAACAGATTCTAGCTAGAGAAAAATAAATTTGAATCACGTTTATAGTAGACAAGTCAACTTAAAAAAAGGAGCCGTGGGGAAAAGACCAGCTACTTGATTAACTATTTGAGTATGCTTCATATGGACACCATGGTGCTGTTAGTGACAGTGTGCAACTCAAGATCAAAAGGAAATTACACTAGATTTTTGGCACATCCTTGTCCTGCTGTCCCTTTTAGGTGATATACTATTGGGTGTTTACAAAGATTTTCCCACAAAAAGATTGTCTTGCCTGCACCTTCTCTTGGTCATCAGTGTGTTACAGGAAGCGAGTTTGACTCCCCTCTCTCCTTTGTGTCCCCCACATCCTCCCCTGCTATTATGTTATTTGGCTGTATTTAGCCAAGTCAAGAAGGAAAAACATAGAAAAGGGTAAATAAATACTAGTACCGTATGCCCTGGCCAAGCCATCTACAAAATGAAAGATAGAATTGCTTGAACTTTTAAAGATGCGGTCTTAATGCTGTAAACCTATTAGCTGAAAATTGGTTGGAAGCAGTCTAGTCTTCTTCAGCACATTGAGATTGCCCTCTGTTTCAGCTCTTTATAGATTATTTATCTATTTATATCTACCACATCCTAGTAACTGCTGTTTGGATACAAAGGTAGAAGTATTCCCATTAGGTTACAATACTTGGCAGAAACAGCTGTTTGGATTTCTTTTACCTACCACATACCTTACTCCAAACTAATGTTGACAGTTGCACAGTCAAATTGGAGATAGTGGAATAGATGAAAGGGTGTTGTTAAACTCCTTTGATGCTGATATATACTCTTTCATCCTTCTGCTTGCGGCAAAAAGAACTAACAGATAAGCTTTTCTGGACAGTTTCTAATCATTTTGAAAGACTGAAATGCAAAATAAACAGATACCGCCTGCAAAATTTAGAAGTGACATCTTCTCTTTAAGCTTCACCAGTAAGGTCAAATTTCATTCTTTCTGTAACAATGCAAACAACGAATCGTCATGCTTAAGAGAGGTGCCTATATGGCATTTTTTAATTTTTTCAAACCTTTGTCTGGGGCTGGGTGGGAGGTGGAGAAGGTGATAAATGGATGTTTAGTCATACAGATAACAGAATTATGGTCCTTTAGAGAGAATGATGGCCAATGCCATGATTGATGTTTCTATAGATAACTATTAGACTAGATATACTGTTTGTTAATCTACTTGTACATCTTGGTATTGAAGGCACAAAAGAGTGAAAGACTACTTTGGTCCCATCTCTCTGTTTGCTGTTCCATTTGCTTAGGTTTTGCCTGGCACATTTAGTCACTTTTCTCATCACTGGGATTTAAGGGCCACAAGCTTAATTTTAACAGTTTTGCAAAATGTTCATCTCCAAAGAAGCAAAATTGATGAGCTAGTGTCTTTAGATTGACAGATCCTTTGGCTTTTGAATTGTGTTTGCTCCTGTAGGATTTGAAAGAGCAACAAAGGTGACACAGTAGTTCTATGATTAATTAAGTATTTCAGACACTATTTGTATTTAGACTAGTGCATTCTTTTCCTTATTTACTCGAAGCAAAGGAAAGTCTAACTCCTGCAAGACCACGGAAGTATACAAGTTAGATAGATCTTCTTCCTCATCTATTATAAGTGGGAACTGCTTTTGAGATAGTGCAGAGTCAACTGTACCTTGTTCTGGGGACCAAAGAGCCTCTTGTGACTTGACAGACACCTAAATTGAAGGATTCATCATCAGGTAGATAGAGTTCACCATTGAACCTGAATTTCTGGTCAGCAACAATTTTTGGATAAAATTATATTCTACGTTATCTTACTGTGATAATTTCTGGAATACAGATACAATTTAATTTATTGGATTGGAGTGCCTCCGAGAACAGTGTGAACAATGAATCACATGTCTGTTCAGTCAGGGAAGATGAAAAATGCAATTTTGAGAAAGATTTCTGTGCTGCTGAATTGATGCCAAAAGAAATTACTTGGTACGGTGAGGAGCAAGGAGGAAGTTCCTTGCTCAAGCAAGAAGAAATAGGATCTTGCAGTTTGGCAGGAAACATGAATTTTGATATGAGATATTGACTGCGTATTGTCTCATAATTACGATGACCTTAAAAGATCATATACAGCCACACTATGCAAATCCATGGAAAAGAGTTTCAAGAATTGTACAACTATAATCTCCATTAATCTGGTTTCACCTGAAATAAGGAAACACATATAGCTGCAACTCGTCACTCACGTTTTAGCTGTTACGTGGACAGTTGGTTATGTATTCAGAGATACTACTTCTTCTTCTCTCATTGAAGTACTTTAATTGATCCTAAAAACCTCCTTTCCCTAACTTTAATCCCTGTATAGCTTAATCTTGGTGTAGCCTTGTCAGCATCTTTAGATGCAAATTCACTTGTACTTATGTTGCAGGATATGTATGCATCCTGTCAATACATGTATCAAGACATGCTGGTAAGAAATCCGTAGATTGGCCATAAGAGGGCTATCTTTAGAGCTCGATTTCTTTAAGGTGGCGAATAGATTACTAGAATGCACATAGTCTGGATAGAATTTGTAAACCATAAAATAATTACTAAATAATCAAGGGATGTATCCCTACCTGTTGTATTGGGATCCAAGTCATAATTCACGACTAAGTTGGTTGCTGTCATCATCGCTTATCATCACATTGACTTCAGGTAATAGAGTCACGACGCATAAGGTTCGCCACAAAACTCTTTCTTTCTCACCTTTGATGATGAGATTCCAAAAGCAGCTCATCTTTTCTTTGTGTAGCAAGGGCACCATCAGTTGGGAATATATACCAAAACTTCTTTCACTCTGTTGAAGTGAAAATTTCCTTACAAGAATTTGGTCAGCAAGCATAAAGAAGTGCCACGTGCGGAAAACATAATGAAGCCTTCTCTTCCTATTCAATTCTGCTGTCACTTTATCCCTTTATCTCTGATGTTTGAAATTCCATTTCTATCTTTGATCAAATCAGTGGTCATTTGGGCCAGTTGTCACCACTGATTTGTTAGTTGTGATCACTTGGATACATCTTTCTAAGCATGTCAAATCCGCGGTGACATTTTAGCTTATGATTTATTGAAGAAAATATGGTTGTCCGGTCCAGATATTCCAAATGATTGTCATAGTATTTATCACTCGATTTGTTGCGTTTATTCATTGGTGCTCAGAAATTCCCTCTGTTTTTTCTGGATAAAAAATTATTCATGTTATCTGCAAGTACTAAGTTTATGATTCCTGATATGTTATGGTGGTTTCTCATTTTTTGAGGACATCCCACCCACCAATCATCCTAAGTTAAATTACAAGCTCTGAGATAAGTTGTTGACACATGCAGAAAACTTCTTGTTTCCATCTCTAAGTTTTTTTTTTTTTTTTTATTGTAAGTGAATGACATATGCTTTGCTATGCCATCGATCCTTGAACTTTCAAGGATCATAATTAGTAGTTGTAAATTAATGAAGGACGTTGTCATCTAATGAAAAAGGAAGTGAAAAACAACAAAAGACTGGTGGGAAAAGAATACCTTCATGTTTTTCTACGATGTGAGTTGTAAGGTGCGTCAAGGGAGTGAAAAAAACCTTTGAAGTTGTGTATTAGAGACTAGCAATTGTATTAAATTGTTTCCCGTGTTGTTCACGTGATTGTGATCCAACAACCCACGTGGAAATGGAGGCTCCACTTGCCTTTCTGGTGCAAGTTAAAACTCTGAAACCTGCCTAAATCTACGTCAGAGAAAACCTGCCTAAACCCACAGAAGACAGTTTGGCATTCATTCCTTGGTGCACAGTGCATCCTAGAAAGTATATATAGCCATGTGGGTGTTTGTTTGTTTCACCCTCAGGACTTGAATTGTCCCATAGCTGGTGTCTGTTCTAAATGGATCCCATATTCAAGATAATGGTTTTCTTCTATTTGATTCTTGTTAACTTGCTGGTCTTGAATGCTAGGCATTGGTCCATTGATAAAAAACCTAACTTACGGGAAACAGAAGATCTAGTTGCTAATTTGCCGGGTCAACCTATGGTGAACTTTCGGCACTATGCCGGATATGTCACCGTGAATGAACAAAACGGAAGAGCACTTTTCTACTGGTTTTATGAAGCCTCTGCTCTCCCTGATGAGAAACCTTTAGTCCTCTGGCTTAATGGAGGTAAGCAGCATGGAACAGTACACAGAGGTTTTTCTCATGTTAATTAATTGCAGAATGCTTCACATCTGTCATAGGTTTTAAGACACCTTTCCTTTAGTAAAATCTTGGTCTTAGCATCATTCATGGAAATGTGAAGTATTTTCTGCAGCTTTTTGCGCTTTTACTGAATGAGAATAATGTCAACCATCTAACTCTAGGGTTTTCAAACCCTACTATGTCAGCAAGAGAAAAGGATTAACAAGTTTTTTTTGTATTTTCGTGGCAACCGAACCGAGTATTTCTAACGATTGTTTGACCAGTCCTCTATTCATCTAAAGGATTACTAGACAAAGGAATTTAATTTTCTGACTAAAAAGAGGAGAGGAGAATCTTAGCTAATATTTTAATCTTCTCTTTAGATGCTTGCACTTTAAAAATGATCAAGCTCTCTGTACCACCAATAGATTAGATTAATTCTATCTCATTTACTAGTACTTGGTACACTGTGCTTTTTCCTTTTTCTCACATAATGCATAAGGCCACCTACAATTTGTTTAATCCATGCTTGTGTAGCTTGTTCTCCAGTAAGGTGACAGGAGGTTAATGTTTCAGGTCCTGGATGTTCTTCTGTTGGATATGGAGCAACACAAGAGATTGGACCTTTCCTTGTGGACACAGATGGACATGCCTTAAAATTTAATCCTTATTCATGGAACACAGGTTTGATGTCTACCAAATTGTGCATTATTAGGTGTGCCACTTAATTTAAGTTACATCTGTGCAATACAGAACAGCATGTCACCACTCTCCCTACACATATTTTAAGATGCGACGCACCGCCAGCATAATATATACTCCAAATTCATACATTGACAAACTATAGATTTATCCTGTGAAATGATGCAGAAGCAAACTTGTTGTTCCTGGAATCTCCTGTTGGTGTTGGCTTTTCATACTCAAATACAAGTACCGATTATGATAACATAGGAGATGACTTTACAGGTGATACGCCACAAGCTTTTTCCTTTTAAAGTTCCTTTACTATCTCCTCTCTTCATCCCTTACCCCTTCCCCAATCTCCCTGCACGTTGTACACTAATGTCCATTGGTATTTCTCTGATGCATAATTATTTAGGTTTAAAAGCATATGTTTGTACTTCTAATTATTCTATTTTTAACTGTGTTTGTTCCACTGTGATATCAGCACAAGATGCTTATATTTTCCTGCACAAGTGGTTCCTCAAGTTCCCATCATATAGAAAGCGAACCTTCTATATAGCTGGGGAGAGTTATGCAGGTTTTTGTACTTTTTAATCCTACTGTGGTGTTCATTTTGTCAAAAGTTCGCATATGCTCATATTCTCCTTGACATGTTATAACAGGCAAATACGTACCTGAGCTGGCCGAACTTATCCATGACGAGAATAAAAATTCTTCACTTTTCATTGATCTTGGTGGCATACTGGTATAGTCTGTCTTAATCATGGACGGAACTTAGGCCTCTTGTTACAGCAAATCTGATGCATTGAGTGACAGTCCTATGTATTTCTTTACATGTTATTACCTAGATATCTTGCAAAAGCTAAAGGAGTCAAAAAAAAAAAGAAAAAATCCACTTTCAGTGAGAGGGTAACTGTGATTGCCTCTTCTTATCGTTACTTCACTTTCTTAATTTCAATGCCAACATAATGATCACATCTTGACATGTCAATAGGAGTGTGCATTCAGTAGCAATTGGTTATTTTGTTACGGGAAATGATACTTCCTAGTTTTTAGCTATTCCCACGTCTGTGCCTATTGCATAAAGATGTTGTGATTTTTAGTAGCTTTTGTAGGTGAACTCTTTTGTTATTCATTATTGTAGACTTTTCTCTGACCAGTAATATCAAGCGAAAACTGTTGCTTTGCTTCAGCTAGGTAATCCTGAAACATGTGATGCTGAAGACTGGAAAGGTCTTGTGGATTATGCTTGGAGCCATGCTGTGATTTCAGATGAAACCCACAAAATTATCAAGGAATCTTGTGATTTTTATAGCAATGACACATGGAGCAATGAAGCTTGTAGTCAGGCCGTGGATGAAGTTCTTAAACAGTACAAGGAGATAGATATCTATAGTCTATATACATCAATCTGTATTGGCAATTCAACAAATTCCGAAGACAAATCAATGCAAGTCATGTTCAGGAGCACTTCTAAATTGGTAAGAAGCGGGCTTTTTAAAGTATGTGAAATAACTATATATTCCGTAACGAGGTGCCATTTTCCAACTCTCTAAAGCATCAATGTCATATGAGACTTTTAGATAATAGTTAAGACTTTCCTGGGAGCCAAAATGAAGCATGTGGGTTCAGTTAGTCATTTTCAATTCGTATCATTATGCATGATATCCTTCCTAGTCTAGAGTCCAAAATTGACTATCAACAGGATGAATTAACCTGTTCTGGTGTTTGACATGGCTGTGCTTGAACACTCGTATACTAGATGCCAAGGATCATAGGCGGCTATGATCCATGCCTTGACGACTATGCAAGATACTATTACAACAGAGCTGAGGTGCAGAAAGCCCTCCATGTTAGTGACGGTCAGCGCCTTAGAGGCTGGAGCATTTGCAAGTAATATACTTCTCATCCATCTCACTTATTTGAATTCTGTGGTTTGCAACTCTCATTTGTGTGATAAATAAGATTATTTAGTTCTCTTAATATCGCATCAACCACATTTGATGCAGCATGACTATCTTTAATAGCTGGTCAGATTCAAAGGAATCTATGCTCCCTATATACAAGAAACTCATTGCTTCAGGACTTAGAATTTGGGTGTATAGGTACATGGCCAAAACTCTTTCTTTCTGCTTTAATTTACTTGCTATTTGAATATCATTCACTTTATAAAAGTATTTGGACCAATTTTTGGGTTTTTTTTTTCCGTTGATGCAGTGGAGACACTGATGGAAGAGTTCCCGTCTTGTCCACAAGATACAGCTTAAGTTCCATCGGTCTTCGCATTACACGAGCGTGGAGGCCCTGGTACCATCAGAAACAGGTAACGTGATTTGGATACAGTAGATCATGAAAAAAATTGCTATTACCTGGTACCACTTTGATCCCTCTCATAAACTTCGACTGCTAGCCTTGTGCAGTTCTGGGACACCGGGAGGAAAGAACAAAAACAGAAAATACTAGGAGACTCCTGAAAGAGAGATTTCTTTGACTCCTTTTCAAATAAATTGGCTTTCTCCAGATCTGTCGCAGTGTTAGGCTTTCTTTAATGTTTTCAATATTAATCTGACCTCGCCCAAGATTTTGCTTTATTGTTTACCTAAGTTTCGGCAAACCAGTTGCTAAAAGTTGATGATTTATGATCCTAAAAGAAATATGGAAAAAATTTTCCTTAATTCTAAAGGTAAATTCACTACAATTTAAAAAGTGATTATCTTTGTCACATCGACGCATAACAGCTGGAGATATGCAACCCACCCCGAAAATAGAAATCCCTATTTTGCTAATAACTTCGACTTAAGAATGTAGGACTAATAATTGAACATTCAACACGTTTTATTCTCTGGGGTATTATATGACAGCACATGAGTATAACTTGGATCAAAGGGAATAAGAAAACAAATTCTTGCATCTGATACAAGACTCGTGGTGTTCATAGTGTTTGGATTCGTTGAGTGGAGGGTTTTAATTGTTGTTAAACTAGAGCCTACTTGAGACCTTTGCAGTAAAGAAATGCCATAAAATGTTGGTTTAGCTCCACTTCCATCGTCATGATTGCATTCATGAGTGGGATAAAAAACCCTGCCAAATGATCTAGTATTCTTCCATAGTTAATACTTGCATTGATTCTTTTGTGCCCAAAAGACAATTGAATTGGTCTGACGTGAAGATTATGTTGTACCATTTATGTTAGGTTGGTGGCTGGCTTCAGGAGTACGAGGGGGTTACTTTTGCTACATTTAGAGGAGCCGGTCATGCTGTGCCCATTTTCAAACCAAGCGAATCACTTGCATTCTTCTCAGCATTTCTATCTGGGGAGTATCCACCTCTCCAACGTTAGATCAAACATAATTGTCCTATTTTTAGTGTACTTTTCCAAGAATTTTTTGCTCTTCTACTACTGTTATTCACGGCATATATATATATATATATATACATAACTACTGTAATTTTTATGTGCATCACTGCGTTTGCGGCATGAAAGCAATATGAGCGTTATTGGATGTTATTGATACATCATCTTTTTTTGTAGTCCTCCAAAGCCTCTAATTCTAACTTTCACACACATGCAATCTTCCTCTCCACATATATAACCTATAAAACATTGACTCTTCTAAGTTGCTTATATAAGCATTATACTCAAGCGATAAACATTCAATTGATGCAAAGCTTTGATTAACCACCAGTGTTGGTCCGTTGGTTAGGGGAGAGCAACTGATACGAAAAACGTAATTTAAATGAAAAAGTCACTCGAATAATTTCTTGAATCCAAATCAAAGGTTCGAAAAAGTGATAAAAGGCTGCCAAAGAAACCCTTCCTCCGGGCAGGTTTAGAATTCGAATATTGTGCCAAGGAATTGGGAATCCTGTGCCAAGCACTTGGGGATTGGAAGTGTGTGGGAGGAAAGTGACAAAAGGCTACCAAAAAAACCTTTCCTCCCCTGACATGTTAGAATTCGAATCTTGTGCCAAATAATTGGGAATCTTGCACCAAGCACTTGGGGATGGAAGGGTGTGGGAGGATAGTGATAAAAGACTGCCAAAAAAACCCTTCCTCCCCCATCAGGTTTAAAATTCGAATCTTGTGCCAAGCAATTGGGAATCCTGCGCCAAGCACTTGGGAAAGGAAGGATGTGGGAGGATACAACAAGATAAAAAAAGAAAAAGAAAAAGAAAGCTTTGATTCACATGCAAAACTTCGTCACAATCTGAAGGGAAAATAAGCAGCTCTATTTTCTCATTTTATGGGAAAATGTGGAATTAACTTTAGGATAAATGTGAATCCTAGAATGTATAAGATTTCATATATATATATATATATATATATATATATATATATATATATATATATATATATATGTGTGTCATGTCAAACAGATGTTGCCATTAACTAGAAATTTAATGTCACAGCAACTCGGTATTAATTGTCAAGGTTACCTTTCTAATCAATATTGGACTTTAATTGACATGTAAGGGTATTACGAGAAAAATTTGTTGTGATATTCAAGTTCTTGTTGTGGCATTAAATTGTTTTTTCCCTCAATTAGATTTCACACGAAGTAAGAACAACAGGCACTAATCATGTGAATTTTTTCGCAGATTTAGCGAAGACATGAGCTAGATGCCTAACTAATCCATTAAATGTTACGCATTTGTAAACTCTCACAGGTCCCTTTCTAATGTTCTTTATCAAGGTAAATATATTAGTAAATCACATTCATCTTACCTATGACGTTGCCACAGAAGAAATAAGCTCCCTTTTCTTTTTCCCGTGAATTGATCTCCCATAATTTGGAAATTTGAGGGAAAATATGAAAATGCACAGAGACTTTACAAAATGTACAGATTGTATTTCCAATATGGTTGAAAAGCATAGAAATTTTTTTCCAATATGAATGCATAAACATTAGTGCATGTTGATGATAAACAAAATATGAGGTGTTTTAGTATTGATTGTTCAAATTTGTGAACAAACACCAAGCTATACATATTTTTACAAGTTTTTTGAAATTTCGGAAAAACTTATAATGCACCATGATTGGACTCATGTATATATGTGGTCGAACAACAACTCACATGAATTTGGTATCATCAATTTCCCTTCTGCCAACTATGATACCTATCAATATTATTTTACTTTTATTTTTGTCGAATGCATGGAAAAGGAACCTCCATGCAAAAAGCTTATAGCTCCGATGGAGTATATCAACTTAGCTAAAACTCAAGGCAAACCCTTTTTTTTTTTTTAAATTGCTATTGGAAACGAACAACTCAATAAAGTTGAATTCAGTTTGGATTGATTCGGTAAATCTAGCGATTGCTGCAGTATTTTAAATCATATTAAACTGGTTGATATTTGATACAACCCCAAGAAGTCACTTTTTGGCATAAAGGTACTCTTATTCCTCCTACATCTTTGATAGCAGCCAAAAGAATAATATCTTATATCGTTAAAGGAATGCAAGAAATTCAGATTTCATATTCGCTGTGTGAGGTGGTATGGGATTGTGGCACATTATGATAGGGTATGTGTTGCAGAATGTATACCAATGAGCATTTCTATCACTAAATAGAAATCTTCAGTGGTTCCAAAAGTGCAAAATATTATGACATACCTAATGGCAAATATTTACTTGCACTCGAATAAATTACAGAATATCACTAGTTGAAAGAGTACAAATCCGGTTGAACTTGTCCATGAACATTGATGCTGCTATATGTTTTCTTTCCACCAATTGTTTTATTAATATTTCAAGAGAATTTGTTTACCTAATGTCAAGTTTTACATATTTTTATCAAATTCTTTAACAACTCAAAAGAACAAATTCCAGGACCCTAAGTTTGCATGTACACTTGTACCTCAATTACTTTTTTCCCTTTTAGGGTCTGTTTGTTTCGGGTGAAAATGTTTTCCAGGAAAATATTTTCCTAATTTCCCGTGTTTGGTTGCACAAAAGTTATTGAAAACATTTTCCTATGTAAAATATTTTCACTCAATCTTATGGAAAACAACTTCCCTTCCAAACTTACTGAAGTTGTTTTTCGAAATGCATGCATCCCGCCTGTAATATGTTCCAAACTTACTGAAAACATCTTGTAGTATGTTCTTTTTTTTTTTTTAGTGTAAACAGGAGGATTCGAACCCAAGACCTCTTCCTTACACTCCCTCCCCCGTACCACCCAACCCAACCTAACCCTCCCCCTAGTATATTCAAAATAAAAAAAAACCTCATCCTGCTCATCCTATACTAGTAATTAATTATGTATAATAGGAACATTCTTTTCTAGAGAAACTTTCAGCAGTGAGAGTGCAAGATATATGTCACAATAAGCATTGCATGTGATTGATTTTTGACACTAAATGGCCAGCAATTTGTTTATTGCTTAAGGAGATATTTTTTATTCATATATACATTTCTCCAAGATTTTTTAAAGTTAAACAATGAGATAAATTTTCTTATTTTGCATGGGAAGAAGTATGTAGTTATAATGTGTAGAAAGTAAAGATAGAGATAAAAGTGAAAATATTTCAAAAGTTAAACAAACACCAGAAAAATGAAGTAAGAAAATATTTTCAATAAGCTAACCAAATACCTGAATATGATGAAAGGGAAATGATTTTCATGGAAAATTACTTCCACGGAAAATATTTTCCTAAGGAAAACATTTTACTTCCAACCAAACAGACCCTTAGTTCTTGTCTTTTTTGAAAGTGATGAGAAGATCCTCGATGATGTCAAAATTAGAAGCTGTGAATCTACTATTCAGATTCCGACTTTTGAGCTTTTATGAAAATCAAAAGCAGTTGATAAATTGACAATTGGAAAACTCAGTACTTGAATGGGATATATATATACAACAAGATGGGGGAAGATGAACGAAGAGTCTTTGTCACCGTCCATGAGATATCATATGGGGGCCCGTATTGCTGTAATTTGCCAACAATCGGGTGCTTCATCAAGGAATATCCTGGCTGCTGTTGGGCGAGAAGTCCATTATGTGGTCCTCAGTTGTGGAAAACTTCCAACAGCAGGGTTTATATTTTAAGCAATTTTGTTGGCTTGTAATGTTTAGCATTTTCTGACTGATATAGATTGAGGAATTCCTCGGGCATGTACTGTTTTGCTCATCATTCATAAAGCTGTTTCTAGGTTGCTCAGGACCAGAGAGAGAGGGGGGGCTGAATGTATTAGCATGTTTGGATAGTAGATTATTTGGGATAATTTTTTGAAAAAATATTGTAGTATTTTTTGATGTGATGTATATGAAACAAAAAAAGTAATTGAAAAATGCGTTAATGATATAAGTAAATAAATTTTTATAAATAATTCACTATCCAATTCCAAGACTTAAAAGCAAAATCATTATAGTGGTCCATATTCCATGAAATTAAGAATGCGAAACCGGCATCCTTTTTCTTCTTTTTGACAAAAAAACACTAGCAAAATACAAGTTAAAATAATTCTGCCAAGGTTTTTGAAATATTTATTTGACCATAAGAGATTATTTGAAATAATTATTGTGGCACTTTTTTGCGAGATAATGTACGTCAGATAAAAAGGTGTTTGAAAAGATAAAAAAGTGTGATAGAAAAATATATTTATAATGCAAGTAAATAATTTTAATTACTATAATATTTTTTGCGATGTGATGTATGTAAGAGAAAAAGATGTTTGGGAAGATAAAAATGTACATTAAAAATGTATTTGTGATGCAAATAAATAGTAATTTCTATCCAAACATAATCTCAACGTCTTATTTCAATATCATACAAATCACACAGTAGAGACAACGTGCCAGCAATATCCGACCAAGTGCACACAAACAACATCTAGGAAATACACCAGAAGAAATTTATACAGACAACATTATTATTCAAATGATACAACCAAATTATTAAAATCTTGGCGGGACACAGACTGCTCCACTACCACAAACAGAAATAGGATTCTTGATCAGTAACTGTTGTCCCATGAACATGGCTTTGCCGCCGCGGTATTTGACTTTGATGTTGGGGTCGAAACGGGCAGCAATTTTGACGACATTTTTCTTTTCTGGAGGAGCTGATGATGGCATTGGCAGTGGCTTAACTCGATGGTCTGGAGTTTGAGTATAATCAGGAGGAATGTGGATGGCTTTCTTGATATTATCAATCAAATCTTCCTTGCTGTCATATAGGTTGGTGGAGTTGAAAAACATCTGAAATACTTTCATGCAAGATAAATGCAAATGCCTGAATGATTTAGGCATATCGCTGGAGCTATCTTCCAGAACAATTTGTAGGAATTCTTTCGTCTTCTCGTCCAAAATGTGTTTCACATAAGCAACCGAATCATCAATATCCGCCTCTGGATTTTCATTTAAGTGGAGCGTCACCATGTTCATTTTCCCATCCGCTTGTTCTTTCTAATAAGAGAGTAAAATCAATAATCATAATTTATGCTTATTAGCAAGGGTACAGCTAGTCAAAAACAGATTGTGAAATGATTACTTGATAGCTCTGAGTGTCATTCACCAAACGGGTGGAAGCCATGAGCAATTTCGTGATGTCTCTGTACTTGCCCGGCTTGAACTCTTCCACCGGCAGTTTTTGACTTAAGAAACGAGAAGCAGGAAGAACGAGCGTGTGTGCCGCAATAGATACCATGCCGGTTTCTAGATATTCCTCCATGGATGGTAGGTAACCGGTATCACTCCAAGTCCTTTCTGTCATCCAAGAAAGAAATGTTTCCCGCCACTGTCATTGAAAAATTATGTGTTTGTCAGTGAAAAATAGCACTCATGTTTAATCGACACAATGTATATGGAGTTATCAAGAAATGAGATTTTGGTTCGAAAGCGTACGATATCCCTAAATTCCTTCAAGAATTTGGTTTGTTCTTGCTGAAGATGGTATGTAGCTGCAGTCTTTGTCACTAGATCATCAAGGGTATCAAAGATTGTCTTACTGTGGCCCCTCAAATTTTTGCCATCCCATCTGTAAGGATTTAGACCACAGGAGCGAATATAAGTAATAAGAGGAACATGTGCATTATCAGCACAAGAAGAAAAATTTTGTAGCATGAATGATAGTGTATATGATACTGCACATAAAATCTAAGCCAGGTTGTTCTTATTACTACTTTGAATGCTGTAATATCCTTATTACACCAGCCACGGTTCTAGAAAAATGCGAGAGACTGAAAGCAATTAGTGGATAAAATTTGGGTACTTTTTAAGCTTCTTAATCATTTTGGTGCAGTAAGGATGGTTTAACTTAGATATTTTTTTTTTTCCATAAAAAGCACTAATTGGAGTAGCAGGTTGCTATGATTTAAATGAGGCTAAACAAGTGAACGAGATTATTAATCGAACAATAAATGCTACCAAAATTGCATGCACTAAAAAACAAATCTATACTCGCTGAGAAAAAATGTGGATAAATGTACACCACAAGTTTCTAGTGAATAAGAAAAAGAGACGCATCAACATCTTGAGCAAAGTTCTTTTCTTTCCTCTTAATATCTGGCAATAAGAAAAGAGAGATGCATCACCATAACTGAGAAATCCCCTCATCTTTAAAGTAACATGCATTTTAAAATAGATGTTGCTGTATATATACTGCATATGGTGTAAGTTTACACTAATCCACTGGCGATGACTATATAATTTAAAGGCTAGAGTTCCAAACTATGTTACACCTTTGAACGGCCTCAGTCAGGGCTTCCAATTCAGTGATAGATCCTTCCATGTCGTAGAAGTCATCGGCAACTGTAATAAGAATTGCAGCCTTGGCAACAATCAGCCTAATGATAGAGTCATGGGGCAAGCAACAGCAGACCGAAATAGCGAAATAGCAGTACGTAGTTTTTTCTCGTCCAAATCCCATGTCAGCTAGACCAGACTCAGTGGACCATCTGCATTTTACATAAATCCAAAAATGTGTCAAAAAAACAAAAGGCCAAGAAATTAATTTGTGGGCAGCAGCAAATTTTGACGAATGTGTCCATCCAAAAAGAAGTGCACCTCTTTAGTTCTTCCAACTCCTTGGCGTAGATTGATTGCCGAAACTTGTAGTTCTCGGAAGCAAGTTGTATCAGTTTCTCATTGTTGAAACAAGGCAACCTAATAATTATTCAACATCAGTAGATGTATACATTTGCATCGACAGCAAGACTTTGTCATGCATTATTGGAGGGGAAATTGGACTGACATGGTTGCTATCTTATGCTTAGGCATCACTAAGTTTTTATTCCATGGGATTGATGACTCGTGTTTTTATCTATGAAATTCGTTTTACATACTTAATTTTTAAAATAATGTGATGCCATGTCCTTGTACTCATGTTTCTCTATGTTGCAAACTTAAGTGGAAAAACAAGTATAGGATGAATTTTAGCGTTACGTAATACCTACATGAATATGGAGAACATTTCATTTACAGATTAAAAGGAGCCATCGTAAGCACAGTCAAGAATATGCAGAATTATGCATGAAGATTTAAAGGGATGCAGTCACTATACGAATTGCTGAAAGATAATTAGTAGCGTGTAGCCTAGGAAACTGGCAGTGATTTTAGTATGGACACAATCAAATCAAATCAAATGCTATACCTGTAGAACGATGCCTTTCCGAGCCACAGGGGACTGAATTTATTTTCTTCAATCCACATCCTATGCTCAAGATGATCAAGTCGAGTAATCCAAGGCAGTGTCAACTCATGTTTTATCTATTGAAACGTCATGAAAATCATGTCAAATAATGCCACTTATTATCTGGAAGCTGCACAACTAATGTATGGAGTAGCATCTAATATCAAGAATCAAGTACGTACTTGACGTTGATTAAGTATACCCTGAATTGGCAATGCAAAAGTTTTTAGGTATTTCTTCATCTTAAAAAGTTATTTCTGCTCTTTAAAATTGATTAATTTCACGAGGATAACTTTTCATGAGCCAAAAAAGAGTCTGATTCTCATACAATTTAAAGCTGTAGTTAAATCCTTACTAGTATTCCTTTTTGTTCATCTGATAAAAAGGGCATTTTTCTATCTTTTGGCTTTAATTTCCAATTCTTTTTTTTAAAAAAAAAAAAAATTGTTCTGTGTTTCATGAATTCCATTCTTTCCAGAGTGTTTAATACGAATTTTTGTATTTGAGGTCGTCTCAGAATAATTCCAATTGAAAAAGGCGTAAGATAATTAATTAAGCTACCTCCCTTTACGAGGTTATACGAATCAAAGTTAATTACTTATTACCGAGTGCAATAAAAGACAGGCACTCACAACTTTTTGAAGACCCGGAAAAATCACAAGATTATCATCTCTAATCCTGACAGCACTGGTTGCTTTCTCCAACAATTTTTTGGAGAAAGATCGTGCCTCCTCCAGCTCATATTCGCCTGTAAAAGCAATATCCGCGGCTCTATATACAGTATATAGTACACTTGTAAGATGTTCACAATTTTGCTCCATATAATCTAGCATGTTTATATCTTGCAGAAACCAACAAAAGCAACCTGCAAAAAAGAAATTTAGCATAACTGTCAAATTAAAGTACTTAATTTTGCACTAGACATGGAATATTGAGGATAATGATTATATTAACTCCATACGTGGATTTAGATCATATCCCTGCATCCGCAGGAGCCGAAATGCCAGTGCGTCCTTGGACAGTTTTTTAACTAGGAGAAATGTTTCAGTAGGTTGTGAGTCATGATACCTAAAGTTCCTGCAAATTAAAACGGAGGAGTTAATGAAAGGTTAATCAACTATGCAAATTCTGCACATATGTACGTTTCAACTTTGAAAATTATCGGCATATTACCCATCAACTTGTTTCAAGATATGTTCAATTTCTTCGTTGAAATGCTCCGATAATCCTAGTCTCTGTACATGGTCAACCATGAGGAGCTTTGTGAATTCTTCATCCACGGGATACACGGCTGGTACTGCAAAAAACAGTTCAAATTTCGGTGCCTTAGTAGAACCTACATATTATTGTCAACAGGAGATATCCCTGCTGTAGGTTTGGTGTATAGTGAAAAAGTCTATGCTAGGTGGTTCGCGTTGCTTCAGCCCTAAAACGTAACGGTAGACGCAAGTTTATGAATTTTGGGCAACACTTAAATAGCTATTTTATCCTGCAGGCAGGTAATTACATAATGCTGGCCCAAGGTAGAGTAGCAAAAAAAGTGGATCCATGAATTATTTTTCTTTGAGGTCAGTATAGTAGTGAAACAGATAACAAGTCAATGATTGCTTCCTGTGGCGAAGCTGTCTAACCTCCAGTGGGGCACCTCTGAACAAGAGACTTTAGGTAATTCAAGCACTTCAAATTTCCAGTGGCTATATATGCACTTGCTGTGGCTGAGGGTGACTGGAATAATGAGCCATCTCCACCCAAATTCTTCAGTATTTTCTGTTGATCGGCATGATACGCAGAAGGCAAGCTCTCTAGATATGATATCAGTGGTGGATAATACTGGTGTGAATCATCTTCAACGTTCTCCCTGCAGCTCCAAACATGTTATACATCTATTGATGCTCAAAAAGTGTGACTGGGGGAATGGACAACATCTAAGAAGATATTTTCAGGAAAAAAAAAAGGTACTATAATTACTATGATACAATCAATTTGTGACTTCTAAAAAGATGGTAGAAGGCAATACATGTCCAGGAGTTGTTGCCGCTTGCATAGAACATCGGCCAAAACAGTCTCTGACCCTTGAGTGAGAGCAAGATCAAGACCTGTTGCTTGTGCAAGTTCAACCATTGCAGGGAAAACAATAACAAACCAGCGTGGAAGATGATGATAAGCTAGTTTGAGGATTATCTCTGCTTTGGATTGGAAGAACTCTAAACCTGCACAACCCCAGGAGGACAATGCGTTATTCAAGTATAAAAAGAAAAGCTTATATGAACGAAACCAATAGAGAACTATGCGTGTCACAGCATGCATGGTTCTACTTTTGTGAATGATTATGACAAGTATTCTTGTCGCCATGAGCCAAAATATACTTTTGCTCATCATCTTTGTTTATATGCATCAACTGTTTTTACGAGTCAAGTACTGATAAATGTTAGCATATTTTGTAAAAGATACACCTACCATACATGAATGTGTAAGAACTTAACCGTACCTGCCCAACTCCCTGTTTTTATCTTGCTACACTTAGAGACTATCCGTGTTTCCTCTTCCCCAAACAGAAAGTATTTTTTTTTTTTCGAAAAAGTGGATTTTAGTTTTAAAAAGCCAGCTGCCAGGTTGTTTGGAGAGTTAAGAAACTTGTCAAAAATGTGTCATGATTTCTTTTTAAAGATACACACGTGGGATGGTGAATGAATGATGGTAGAATTGTCTATGAGTAGCATATAAGACTGTATATAGTACGCTATTTCGAGTTTTCGACCCTTTGGCCAAGAAACAATAATGTGGCAATTGGAAAAATTCAAAATTTTGGAAAAGTTACTGTATATTTAGAGAAGAAAGCTCCAAAAGTTCGACCGATATGACTAGAAAACCTGTAAACGTGACACGACAGCCGAGCTAGTACAAAATCATACTAATGTTATCCACATATTTGTGTCCTTTTATTTGGCAAGTGCTCCCTTCAATAATTGCAGTATTGTCATGTGAAATGGTTATAACGACCGTGGGCATGTGGGATCAACTTTATATGCGGTATAATTTACTTTCAATAACAGATAGGTTTTGTTTGGTAGAAAAGTTTTTTGCCAAATTTATCTGTTATAAGTTCTTAAAAAACTTTAGCTACAGTATCCTCAAAAAACTTTTCAAAAATTTTAAATTATACCATTCAAAATATTTAAAAAAAAATTTCAAAATTTTTTTTAAAACCTTCTACGGTAAGTTACAGTAAAATTTTAAAAAACACCCAAAAAATTCACTTGTCAAACAGGACTATAATTATAGAACAAAATTTTGTGAACTTCAAACGTGGAGTGAAAAATGACGTATAAGATGTAATTTGAATTTTACATTTTTTTTTAGCCAAATCTTAGCCATAAACTTCTAGGAACTGTTGCAACCGTTCCTGCACCTCCTCGTTAAGTATTTCCTAAAGATTTCCTAGTGTACGTACAATGACCTTAGGTGAGTAAGTAAATAAAAGTTGAGCGGAAGTAAGTACTTCATAGTTGACAGTAAGAACTTGGATCCTCACAACTAAAATGTTCAAATTCTAGTGTAGCAAATATGGTATTAATAGTCACTACCTTTTCCTATGTTTCCTTCTCCAACATTCCATGTTCTGAGAGCAACCAAACAAGCAAGAGTTGCCGGAAGAGTATCAATGGTAGGACGACCCTCCGCGTGAGATTCTCCCCAGAACCCTGCTTCATTTTGGTTGTTGAGTATCCAATCCAAGCAACTGTTGAACATTGGTTGCTTGGAATTTGTGGGGTCTGGGATCATGGCTAACCAAGCTGTGTCATAGGCAGAGGGGGTAATCAACGTGTAAATGTCTTGATTGGAGAACATCCCCTTTTTTACCTCAGCGACTAAAGAAAGAATAGAAGATAGGGAGGACTTCATGTTCATGGGAAGCTGGGAGAAGACGATAGAAGCAAAATGTATTTAGTATTAACAAATTTCTGGTTGAGTTGGAATGGTTGTACCATGTCGAGATCTATTTATAGGAGGATTTGGAGAATTACGCATTGGAAAATGTATGGATCACGATGCTTTCCAACGTACACGTAGATGTACAAGTCACATGCTTTTACATTTGTAATTAATGCTGGTCGTTTTCTGGTTCTCAAAACTCAGTTAGATCCTTGGTGTCACTTTTCAGGCTCAACTTTTATATTTATATCAAATAAAAACAATATGACTACACGTAATTGCAACTTTGATAAACTTAAGAATCTCGTTCTCAAATGCTTGCCTAATCTTATCTGAATTATGCGGTGTGAAATTCCAAAGTAGAAGACTATGGGTATAATTAGGATATTATTGAATTTGAAACCCATTTACCAAACACTCCCTAAATATGCCTTCAATGTTATGTGCTATATCAGCAATATTAATAAATGGAACTACGTAGTTTTGCATTGAATATGAAAAATAAACAGATATAATGGATAAAGGATCCCGTCTGATTATTTATTTAAGTTTTCTTTATCCTTATATGAGAAGTAGGTAGGGTTGCAAACGAGTCGAGTCGAGTCGAGCTTTGACCTAATCGAGCCGAGCCTCGACTAAATTTTACCAAGCTCGAACTCGAGCTCGAGCTTGACGAGCCGGCAATTTTCGAGCTCGAGCTCGAAAAAAATAAAAAATAATTATTTTATTTTTTAAAAAATAAATAAAATAATATTTTTTTTCTTAATAAATAATAAAATATTAAGGATATATACGTAATTTTACTATGAAAATAAAAAATAAAAAATATATATATATAATATACGTAATTTTATTATTAAATAAAAATAAAAATAAAAAATATATATATATACTCAAGCTCGCTCGCGAGCTAACGAGCTTAATATTCTGAGCTCGAGCTCGAGCTCGAGTTTGACTCGAGCCGGCTCGAGCTCGACTCGAGCTCGATATTAATCGAGCTCGAATCGAGCGGCTCGCGAGCAGCTCGATTCGTTTGCAGCCCTAGAAGTAGGATTGCCACTCGATTTGACATCTAATAGTGGCACGATAGGATTTCAACTACTCAAAACTACTGCCAACTAAAATTTATACATGCATAGAGAACCATAGGACCACAAAAAAAAGCATTAACAATTTTGAAAAAGTACTTGCCAAATTTGAAAAAAAGAAAGAAAGATTGCAGCATGGTAGAATATACAGTAGTTGATAACATGATCTATTAATCCGAAGCTTTGTACACCCATTTATCGTGGTGTCAGCTGGATTGAATGAAGTCGATCCAAAAGGTACATCCATTACAACCAATCACATTACAATAGCTGAACCCTTTAAAGTTGAGGAATTTTTTTTTTTTAAAATTAGCAGCAACAAAAATTTCAAAATCTACAAAGATGGCCTAACTTTGCTTAACTTGCACATGTTTCTGGTCAGCGCTAGTGTAAATATGCTTATATTAAGCACACCAATTTTTTTGTAATTGTTCGTATTAAAAAAAAAAAGTATGCCCTCTTTATAAATTACAAAATCTTTGTATTTTTTATGTGAAAAAGTTTGGATGGATTTGATTCTAAATTCTATCACGGGTTAGGGTATACTCTTGGAACTATAGGTAACTTATGAGAGTTTTTATAGATCACTCGTCAAGTTCTTATAAATCACTTATCAACACAACTCTCATATCATCATATCATCGACAGCAGGATTCGAATACACAATTTTTTTATAAGGAAGTGATCCGTCTTTTGAACCAACTTGCCTTGGCAAAAGCTTTGTCATCTTTACCGGAGTGTACCGCTAAAAGTTTAAACCTGCAAAAGTGAATGAAAGTTATAAAAGAAAACAAAAAACCAGGCTGCCAGAACTGAAAATCTAAGCTTCTTGTGTTTTTTATGTTATTTTTTTGGGACAAAAGAATGATAAAAGTTCTGAAGTTGTGCATTGCCTGGGAGGTGGGTGGCGTTCAATTTTAGGAATTTTGATAACCTTGTGTCTGGATATAGTCCTCTCCCCACATGGTTTTCACAGGAAAAAAAAAAGAAAAAAAAGAAATCCATAATCCAATTTTTTTTATATCGGATTGTTAGGACCCCATTATCTCTAGAGTTATAACTCATGTTTCATTTCTTTTTTTTTTTTTTTCAAATAAGAAGATGTGAATCCAAAGTTTCTTATTTATAATCCCTCATACTTTACCGGTTTAACCACCTAATCCAACGCTCCCCCAACTCATGCTTCATTTAAATCAAGGCGTTGCACAAACCAACTTCGCTGCAAATTTTGGTACGTTTTACCTTTCTTGGAGGCATGGATCACGACTTACGATGGGACTTCTCTTCCGGAAAAAAAGTTTAGGTGGAATTTGATTATTGACGATTGTGTTGAAGCAAATGCTACGTTTCAGAACCTTCATATTGGGATTTCTGAATACTTTCTCTGTCAATCAACATTTTTTGCAAATTAAAGAAAAACTCATCCTCGTATGTGGCAGAAATGACAAGGACGAAAAGGATGTTACGTTGGCCAAAGCAGAAGAAGCAACAAACCTCTCATTGGATTTAAGCGGGGGCTGGGGCGGGGGCCGGAGTACGAACGTCTGTGTGAATCGTTCATCCCCTGAAGTTAGTGTTCCAGATTGACCAGAGTCTTCGAACCCTACAAAATAAATGTATGGTTGTGTACAAGTTATATTATACAAGGCCAAACTGGCTTTCTTCAGTAACAAAAACGACGACGCTGACGTTTTAAGATGAAAAGTCACTATTCGTGATTTTATTATTTTTTTTGAAAAAAAGAAAGAACATTCTCATCTCACTAAACTAACAAAAGAGTAGTCACTGCAGTGCATAAAATTTGTTTTTTTTTAAAAAAAAAAAGATGAATGTCAATTGCTAGTCTATTTCATAGCCATTTCTTCTGAAGTCACGCATAGATGATAAAGAGATATTGATCATATTAACAGTATATTAATTTCAAGGATACCATAATGGCAGGATAGAGTTTATCCATTTTTTTTTTCTTTTTGGGGGCAGTTTATCTGAATTGTTAATCAAGAAAAACATCTTTGTCTGAGAGAGGGAAAGGAAGTTAAGTTTCTAAATGTAAACATGGAATGGAATAGATCATCATGCAAAATGGAGTAGCCAACAAAAGTTGTTTTTCTTCCACTTTTGACTTCTCCATTTTTACTGATAATGTGCTGATCACGTAACTGCTAACATGATAAGAAACGAATATCACGTATTACAATTCTTCACATCATCATCGTATTACTCAACTCAACCCTCCTTACAGTGAAAAATTGATTCTCAAGTTGGTTCCTTAATCATTTGTCACTAAATAATTTAGGAAAAACGAATTGCAGCATGAATCCTGTTACCCGTCGTGAATCGCGAAAGGCTTCATTCACATGGAGGCGGCTGGAATCGGAAGGCGGCCTCCTTGCGTTTTGCGTTTTTGATATAGACCTTGCAAGAAATGTAGGAGTTTTGCCAGACCATATTATTGACTTGATAACTAGGGAAGACAACGATTGCCGCATAAGTCTGGTCCATAAATACTAAGAGTCCTTTTACTCTGTAGTCAATAGTATGACCAACAAAAGCTGAGGCCACGTTTCTAGGCTGCTGAGAAGAGCTTTGAGGTCTTGAAGGAGCTTACCTTGATCGATCATTTATTTGCCTGAAATCTTTCTGGTCCTCGTGCTTGACCTTATGTAGACAAATAAAGTTAGTGGTTCGCCATTTCCCTCTCAGAATTAAATTTTTTTTTTTTATTTATGCAATTAAATTTAGTAGCATTATTTGATGGACCCAAACTGACAATGAACAGAAACCCACGGAAAAGAAAAAAACACAAGAAATCAATGTACAGGCAGAAAGGATTTTTTCTATTGAAAATGAGGCTGCGGCTCTTACATATACAAACAAAAACAGGGCTGCTATTTTTGCACCCTACTGATTCATATGTGACACTAAAACTGGAGACTGCGACTCTTATGTCCCTTATGGTGTTTTATGACTTTTATCCCATGTCACCGCCCTTACATCCTAAGAATGAAATCAACATTACTAACCAATAAACTAACACCGCGTGGCTAAGTAAACTAAGCATTTACTACTGACTTGGTATAATATGTCTACATTATTTGCATTTTGCAATTACATCCCCCCCTCCCCTCCCCTCCCAACGAGTTCTAGAAAATCATATTTTTTTATCTCCTTTTAAGATTTTGGGAATTTTGAAATACTCTTATACGTCATAAGCTATTTGTCCTCCTAAAAATTTCAAAGAATTTTATGTTGACTCCAAGATTCAAATGCATGCGTATTTCGTCCCCATTAAATCAAATTTCCTACCTCTATGCAGTTCATATATCTAGGATAACAAAAACTTATGATTACACGTCTAGAATCTTTACGCTGAATTAAGTGCCAAATGCATGCGGTCTAATTTATAGATTAATTTAACAATGACATAAATCCATTGCTTGGTAATGGAAAAGAATGAACCGGACACGTAGTCTTTAAATTGCTTAGCTAACAGTGACAAAGAAAGGTATAGATTCTTGCGTGATAGAGAAAGATGTGGCAGTGGTTTTTCTTTTTTAGCCTTGTTGCTTTGATCAATAAAAGCTCTTATTATTTGCCCCAAAAAAAAAAGAAAGGTATAGATTGGAAATGATTCTACAAAGTAGCCATTTTTTTTTATTTCCTTTCCCTATTTGTCATTTTTTTAAGGGCAAATTACACTTTACCCTCCTGTAATTTAGTGTTTTTGTTCATAACCCCCATATGGTTTCAAAAACTATATGTAACCCCCTCATGATTGGGATTAAAGTGCCAAAGTGACGGAATTTGTAATTCATAACGTAGTCACCTAAACTATTAAAAATACTCCTATGTAAAGTTGAAAATTATTTATTAACTATAGGGGGGGTTGTGCATATATTTTGAAAATTATAAGGGGGTTATTTT